TAAAAATATTAATTTTTGAAGACTGAATAAAAATAAAGTCCCTTTTTGAGATTTCTCTTGATTTTGGTCACCGTTTGAATAGATTTATTTAACTCGATAAAAATATGAAATAGGCAATCATCTCGTCCCACTTTCTCGACTTTCGCTTCAATTTTACTTTCTTACCTTTTTCATTATTGTCCCAAATGACAACTCGTGCCTTTTGTCGGGCAAGTCTCAGGGCTAACTCTTGACCCACTCCACCGGCGCCTCCCGTGACCAAAACGACTTTCCCTCGAAGGGTTTTCATCCGTCGAAGAAACGACGGAGTGAAGGTCAAGATCAAGGCTTCCGCAATGTAATAAACACTCAACCAACTCAAAACAATCAACTCGATAATTCTGGTGGTTGCACGAAGGGTGGTGAGACGCAACCACTCGAGCGAAGCTGAAGTCACCCTGAAAAGTGGTTTTCAAAAAAAAAATTGAGGGTGAAGAAAAAAATTAACTTGCCTGACGGTTCGTCGTAAATACGGATGCATTTTTCGGTTTAAGAAATTGTAATTTTATTTCACTCACGTTCGCGATTTAGGTAACCGTTTGCGACGCGGTGCGAATTGGAAATGCGCCGGCTTTGCGCTCGCGATGTGAATCCTTGGCAATATCTCAGTCAGGAGGTCGTTGGAGAAAACTCTGGTTTGTTGACCTGCCCAAACCTTTCTCTCATGAGCCTCACTCTTGGGTTTACTTTGATTCGAAACGTCGCTAAATATAGCCCCAAGGCTCTGTTTTGGGGGGCTTTGATAAGAGGAGAGGTCAAATGAACAAAATGAAACAAATTTTGATTTTTATTTAATAATTGTGGAAAACTGTTAGAAGTTATAGTTGAATTAATATTTTGGATATTTTTGACTTTATTAGAACTATTTATCGTAGAATACTGATCTTTTTTGTATGTGATAGAAAATTACCAAACATAAGAGATTATCACCAATAAGTCCGGAGTTATTAGCAATAGATCAAAAATCGACCAAAATTTCGACAAAAATTAAAAGAAAAAATCAACCTTAAAATTCTTCCCTATAACGTTTTTTACATTTCTAGAGGTCTTATAGACTCAAATAAGTGCATAAAACGACATTGGGTCAAGTTTAAAAAATTTTGAATTTTTTGAGTTTTTGAAAGTGAGCGGTAGTAAAATCGTAAAAATAGTCAATTTACCTTAAGTCGTAAAAACGCTTGAAATATGGTTTTCTAGACGTAAAATTACGCGCTGAACACAATGCAACAAGTTTAAATACTCTACGATACATAGTTTTTGAGATATTGAGTAATAAAGTTAAGAATAAGGCTAAAAGTATAAGCACTATATCAGATTTTGACCAAAAATCAAAATTTTTTGATTCTTATGAAAAACTAGTACTATATGTAAAATTAACCGGAGAACACGCCTGTACAAACCCTGTTGACCTAAGACTCATAGTTTTTGAGATATGATTTTTTTTTGAAAAAACTAAAAATGGCTCTGTACCCGGAGCCATAACCCGGAGCGACTTCCGGTTTGCGCCAGTAAATAGATAATTTTAAGCTAATTTTAATGGTTTTTACCCCTTTGCTCTAAGTTCTATAGTTTCGTAGAAAAACGCGTTTAAAGTTTCACAATTTTGAAAATTTTCACTTTTTGAACGGCGATTACGGCCAAACTATTAGACTTAGAGCAATAAGTCCAACTCCATCGTAATCAGCGTAAGAATCGACTGAGACCAAAGCCAAGTCGATATCTCACAAAAAAAATTTGAATTTTTAAACGCCGATTACGGCGAAACTAAAGGAGATAGCGCTAAATAATTGGGAAATTCGTAATTAGCACCTCAAAATCTATCGGATAAGATGAGACATGTTCAAAAACACTAACAAATTTTTACTTTTTTTATTTTGTAAATTGCGGCAAAACTGTGTCTCATTGGTATAATATTTTGACCTAAACCTATGTAAAATGTTCCGGGGAATCGATTGGCGTTAAAAAACTGCAAAATTCCTAATAGTTTTGAAGTTATAAGCGGATTTATATTTTTGATATTTTTGACTGTATCAGAAATTCTCTCAATAACTATTCATCGTAAAGCACTGAACTTTTTAATATATGATAGAAAATTCAATTTTCTATCCAACGGTACCAAATATAAGAGGTTATCTCTAATAAGTCCGGAGTTATTGCCATTAGACCGCTCCGGGTGCCAAAAATCGACCAAAATCTCCACAAAAATTTAAAAAAATTCAATCTTAAAATTATTTCATATAACGTTTTTTACATTTCTAGAGGTCTTAAAGACTCAAAAAAAGCATAAAACGTTATTGGGTCAGGTTTAAAAAATTACGAATTTTTTGAGTTTTTGATGGTGAGCTAGTAAATTTTTTTTTTTGCAAACAAAGAAAAAAAGTCACCATAACTTGAAAATTATTAAATTTAGGTATAGGGAATGTTAGTACAGATCGATGCAGAATTAAATTCTCTTCCATTTAGTAAAATAAAAATTGTGGTATTTCATTTGAAAAAATTGAGTTATGGAAATTTAAATTATTACAAAAGTAATTTTTGGGTTTTTTAATTTTTTTTCAAAATTTGAATACTAGAAGAACGATCTAAGCCTTCTCTTTCAAACGCCAAAAAAACAAATTCAAAATTTTAAAGAATGGCAGATTTACCGATTTTTAAATTGGAAGGTGCAGATCCAAAATTTTTTGAAAAACTCGAAATATTTCAAAAACGGCAAAATTTAGGTATTGGGAACGCTAATAAAAACTTCCTTAAAATAACCCGAATAATCCAAAAAGGCAATGGCTTTCCATTTAAGATAAGAAAGTTGAGACCGACTTCCGGTATAACCGGAAGTGCCGCCATCTTGAAAATATTTTCATTTAGGAGGACATAATGGATTGGTACATAGTACCAATTTTCAAATAAATACGATTATTCGAATTCCTAATACTTCTAATGTGGGGTTTAGACGGAACACCCTGTATAACGTTATCATGTAAAATTAACCGGAGAATACGCCTGTACAAACCGTTTTGACTTAGGATTCATAGTTTTTGAAATATGGCTGTCTTTTTTTTGAAAAAAAACTAAAATTTGTTTAAGTAAACAAAAAGTAACTTAAAAAATATAGAAAAGGTAAGTTTTGTGTTTTTTTATTATTATTATTCATGCTGATTTATCATAAAAACAACCGTTATGACAATTAAGCTGGTTTGACATGAATAAGAAATGAGGCAAAGATGTCCATTTGTTTGTTTAGAAAATACTCATGAGTCCTCTTTATAGTTATCATTTTATGACTCTTAACAAGCCTAACAGTTCGAAAAACATGTTGAGGATAATTATGGACGTCATTTATTACTACAAATGCGCAAAACAATTTTTTATTACTACAAAGGTCGCTAAATTGGCTTTAAATGTACAGAAAGTTGATTTTGTAATTGAAAAAAGCGGTAAAAATGCGATTGAAGAAGAGTTTACTTTCACTTCGTTATTTCTTTTGTCACTACTGAACGGTACAGCAAGTTTCGTTGATGAATAAATGTCTTTTTTCAACCCACTGCCCTCATTAACTGTCGTACTTTCTGCTAATGAATTTAATTAAACAAAATTTCAATTACCACTAGTCTAACTGGGAGTAATTTTTCTCTATTAAGGAAGAGCTAATTTGTCTTAAAACGGGACTTTTACATGTTTTCAAAGTACAGTAAATCGTGACGATATCAAATGTACAGTTTCAAAGTAAATTGCAAGCTAATTTTAACAATATTGACTAATTAATATGCACAAAAATCTAGTCTATGTAGAACGCACAAATTAATCGTTTTGTGTTGAAATAACTGCATTTTTACACAGGAAACAGAGCAGTAATTGTATTAAGCATTAATTAACTGATACTATAAACAAGTAACCTTTTACATAATACATATAATAATTGGAAAATGCTGTAATGTTAAATAAAAAAATTTCTCGGTACAAATATAGACAACACGCAATACACCAGTGTATAACTAGTTGCATAATCACCACACAATTAGGATAGAAATGAAATTAGGTTAAATAAAAACTCCAGTTGAATTTTCTTAAATAAACTTGTTTGCGCATCATACAAATATGTTAAAAATTAGAACATAACCATATGATTCGCATCACTTTTTACTCGCGAGAATTATACCGTCATATTTCTGTTGGAACCACTTCATGGCGTCTTCCTTCGTCAAACGATGGGGGAATCCAACTTTCCCTTGTTTCCTCCTCCTGTGGGCAACATTGAAGCCGGGGCGCCCCAAAACGACGTAAAAATCTAGACCGTAGATACCGATACTGGGGTCGTATTTGATTCCCAAATCGATGTGTTCCTGGATACCGAAGCCAAAGTTCCCCGAAGCTGAAAAGTTGTCACGTCTCAATTCGTATTCGCGGACTTTCAAGCCCCGTTCGAGGATCTCCTCGGCCTTCGCCCCACGGACTGTGCAATGAACGGCGATTTTCTCGTTACGTCTGATGCCGAACGATCGGACGGTGTAGCGGGCTTTGGAGAATACGGGCTGTTGGCCTGTCAATTGTTCTAAAACCTGAAATTTGGGCGTGATTGGGGGGCGACTTGGGGGCTAAAACACTCACTTTAGCGGCGCGGGTTAACCTATCACCGGACTCTCCGACGCAGATATTTAGACATAATTTGCGGATGTGGAGGTCCCGCATGACATTCTTGGACTTGTCCTTCACTTCGCGTTTTTCCTTTTTCGCCACGGGCTGCAACAACACAAAATTAATTTTATAGGTTATGTTGGTCTGTCACAAATAAGTTAAGAAAAATGTAAAGTTAGACTTCTGGGGGCTAAATAGTGGCTAATTTTTGATTTTTGATTTTATTTTAACGCGTTTTAGGAACGAAAAATACGATTTTTGGGACACATGACACCAACACCAGAAACACAAAAATACGCCCAAAATTACCCAAATCCAGTTTTTTAACACACAAAACGCCCAATTTGAATCAATTTCAGTGATCACACGAGCCGATGATTGAAGAAATAGAAAATTTATTGATAAAAACAAGAAAACTTACCGCCATTGTGGATCAAGAAAGTTGAAAAGACTGTCGATAAAACAGTCTCCTACATTGACAACACTTGTCGTTGCGCTAAATTCAAACTTGTTAACACTTTATTGTGACGAAAAAATCAACGATGACAAGAAATACAAAAACCGATAATTAAAAAAATTGGAAATTGTTAAATAACAACAAAAAAAATAAATAAAATTAGTGGGTAAAACAGTTTCCTACATTTTTAATTAGTAGCACTCATTGTTGCTACGGCAACTTGGCGCTAAATTCAAATTTGATAATATTTTATTATAAAAAGGCAAGAAAAAATCACCAATAAGACCCCGTGATTAAAAACCTAGAAAACTAATAGATACAAACAATAAAACATACCGTTAAACCGAATCTAGAAAGTTAAAAATTGAGTCGGTAAAATAGTTTCCTGTCGTTGCTATGGCAACTTGGCGCTAAATTCAAACTTGCTGTCATTTTATTTGATCAATAATAGAAAAATGGAGGAAGAAATCACCGATGATGAGAATTACGAACCGCAAGTCTTTTCGCGGAACCCCACCGAACGCATTGCTGCCCGCCGCCTCCGCATCCAGCGCCGTGTGGAGGCCCTGCACAAGTGAGTCCCCCATTTTCGCGTTTTTTGTAATTCCCCCTGATTTCAGGGCGAAAGAGGCGCAAGAGGCGGCAAAACTCAACGTCACCCTCGAGCCGGAGGTGACCAAGACGCCCATTGAGGGCCAGATCGAGAAAAGCTTGGAGCTTTTGGAGAAACTGATCCTCGAAGGGGACGAGTATGTGAGCAATGTGAGGGTGGCGACGGAGGCCCGCGAGGCTGATCGACGTGAACGCGAGGGAATCGGCAAGGAGAAGCTCCTGAAGGAGTTGGAGGAGGAGGCCGAGGCGGCGGCGAGCATGTTCGAGGAGATTGCCAATAAATGGGGCGGGATTTTGAAGTACAATGACCCGTTGCACATCAGCGAGGATATACAAAATCAGAAGGAGAAGTGCGACGAGCTTATCAGACAGAAAGACAATCTGATTGCTGAACTGAAAGAGAAAATTAGAAAGGCGGAAATCAATTTTGCGATTGATCAGAGAAAACAGATCGAGGATGTCAATTCGATAGCCCACAGAATCGAAAACCAGGTCTTCACACAATATTTGCCAATTATTACCCTAAAAATTACTTTTTTCAAAATTTTTATTATTTGTATTGTTGGTTGCATACGCAACCAAAACTAAAAAAACAACATTATGGTAATTCTAAAGCGTACAGGATTGAAAACCATGACTAAATGGCTTAACACAAACTTTGACTTAATGTTTTCGCCAAAATTTTGCAAGTTATTAACGTCAAAAACGATTTTTTTAATTACTAAACATGTGTATTGTTGGTTGCCAACCCGCCTGAAATTCCAATTTTCAGATAATTGTAATGAGGAAAGCTTATCGTCAGGAGTTGCAAATGATCGAAGAGGTCATCCTCGCCGAGCGCCAGATCCTCATCGAGGCCAATAACAAGAAATGGGAGGAATTATACAAGAAGCGAGACCAGGAGGAAAAAGCCAATTCCGAGCTCAAATCCGAAGATTATTGGAGTTTTGTTAAAGAAATGGACAATTTGCAACGTGATTTTCAGGAATTGTATCGTGAAACCACAATTAAACTTGAGAATGATTGTGATGAGCTTCAACGTGAAATGGAAAGAATTAAAACAGATGCGGTTATGAATAGTGAAAAGCTCGATTACAATTATCAGATTTTGAAAAAACGCGAAGATGAAAATTTGATAATACGATCGCAACAAAAACGTCGAATAAATAAACTCCAAGATGTTATAAATAATTTACGTAAGAAAAATAACGCTTATCAAACACAAACAAGTCAACAAATTGATAAATTAACAATCGAATTGAGGAAACTAACACAGAATATTCTCGATATTGAGCAAAAAGCTGATCATATTGCTCAAGTAAATGACGAGAAATTTAAAAAAATCTGGAGTATGAACAAACAACGAGCTGATCAACTCTTTAAACGTATCCTCGACATCGATAAAACTCTTCACGAGCAACAATTGGGTCTAATTTGGGACCCTCCTCATCACAAATTACCCACAAAAAACGAATTAGAGAGTTACAAAACTGCTCTAAATCTTCTTAGTGTTAGAAAATTTAAAAGCAAAAGTGTGATTAGTGCACCAGAAGGCGCTCCAATCGAACCCGAAAATGTACAAATCGAAACAATTGAAGAAAATCAAAATTATAAAAAAACACTAAGACATATTTTGAATTTGGTCGGTGATAAAATGGGTTTTTTGATCGAAGATGAACTATTTGCGATCTTAGAACCGTATTTGGAACAAGAACAGACGCTGGTAAAGGTCGACAATGTTTTTGCGGTAAGTTCATTACAGTTCATAATAGTTTAACACAGTTAAATTTAGTTAATTTTACGTAAAAACGGTGTTTTGGGCTTTTTTGATCAGTTATTGGTCTAGTTCATTACAGTTCAACACAGTTCAATGTAGTTCATCACAGTTTAATTTAGTTAATTTTGCGTAAAAACAATGTTTTCGGTTTTTTGGATCAGTTCTTGGTTTAGTTTACTATAGTTCAACACAGTTCAATTTACTTAATTTTACGTAAAAACGGTGTTTTAGGCTTTTTTGATCAGTTATTGGTCTAGTTTATTACAGTTCAACACAGTTCAATCTAGTTCATTACAGTTCAATTCAGTTAATTTTGCGTAAAAACGATGTTTTGGGTTTTTTGGATTGGTTTTTGGTTTGGTTTATTATAGTTCAACACAGTTCAATTTAGTGTATTTGACGTCAAAACGATATTTTAGGCTTTTTGAACAGTTTTTGATTTACTTCATTATAGTTTAACACAGTTCAATGTAGTTTATTACAGTTCAATTTAGTTAATTTTGAGTAAAAACCATGTTTTGGGCCCTTTGTATTAATTTTTGACTTATTATAATTCAACTCAATTCTTTCTCCTATACATGTTTTGTCCTTTATGTAACGCAACTTCTGAAAAGCCGATTAACCAATTAGAGTTTAACACAGTTTAATTTAGTTAATTTTACATAAAACGATGTTTTAGGTTTTTTTGGATCAGTTTTTGGTTTAGTTCATTATAGTTCAACACAATTCAATGTAGTTAGTTCTTTACAATTCAATTCACTTAATTTTGGGTGAAAACGATGTTTTAACTCTTTAGTATCTGTTATTGGCTTTGTTTATTATAGTTCAACATAGTTCAATGTAGTTCATTGCAGTTCAATTTAGTTAATTTTGCGTAAAAACGATGTTTTAGGCTTTTTGCATCAGTTTTTGGCTTAGTTCATCATAGTTTAACTCAGTTCAATGCAGTTCATTTTGCGTAAAAACGCCGTTTTAGGCGCTAAACATTAGTGAATGTAGCGATTTTGACCTCCTCTTTAAATTCTTCTTTCCATACATGTTTTGTTTTGTCCTATATGTAACACAACCTCTGAAAAGCCGGTTAACCAATTACAGTTCAACACAGTTCAATTTAGTTAATTTTTAGTATGTCTTAAGTTTTTTGGATCAGTTTTTGGTTTAGTTCAACACAGTTCAATGTAGTTCATTGCAGTACAATTTAGTTAATTTTGCGTAAAAACGATGTTTTAGACATTTTGTATCAGTTTTTGGCTTGGTTTATTGTAGTTCAACACAGTTCAATGTAGTTCATTTTTGCGTAAAACCGACGTTTTAGGCGCTTAACATCAGTGAACGTAGCGATATTGACCTCCTTCTTGAATTCTTCCTCCCATATATGTTTTGTCCTATATGTAACACAATTTCTGAAAAACCGGTTAACCTTGAGGATGAAAGCTTGATGAACGTTCATGAAATGGATCCTTTGAACGTCTCTGAACTCACTGACAATACTGGTAAGTGAATTTTGAAAAATTTCCTGAAAATCGTATTTTTTAAGACAGTCGAAGTAAATTGAGTGAAACAATTGCCACCGATTTAACATTGAGAGAATATGTGGGGGCTGAGCGTGAAGGGGGTAGTAATATCGATGTGGGGCCCTTATCGGTGACCCTTTACGATGATAATTTGAAAGGGGAGTGTAAAGGGCCTGAATTGGGTGAACGCGAGTAAGTAAATGAATTTTTTTTCAGTTCAAAATTTTGTTTTTTTTTTTCAGTACTAAGGACCAGGATAGTAAGGGGTCCTTCGGTGAGGCTGATAATAAATCAAATGTGCCATGTCAGTACCAGCACCCTCTTGTGATAAGCTCGATTTATGTTTTGAAAGCTTTGAGGGAGTTTTTGGGAAAATATCACGTCAAAAAAGCCGGGTAAAAAACCGAGTTTAGGGTTTTTTGGTGCTGAAATTTTTGTAGAATGCCAACAATGACAGCAAGATTGGCTTTTAAACGAAGTACTGTGTCTCGATTGGTGGTACAGGAGGATATTGAGAGTTATTGGACTAAATATACGACGCTTTTTCCTAAAGAAAGAGAGCAGTTGTGGGATAGTCTTCTAGCGGGGCTTAAAAGATATCACGAATTGTTGAAAGGTTTGTAGAGTTTAGTGGAGAAAAAAAAATGGTGATTTTTGTTTTTTTTTCCAGTTCGGAAACTCACAAGTGAAGAAGTGGTGAAATTGAGGAAACAAAACTCGGAATTGAGACGAGTTTTTGCAAATTATATCGACAAAGACGACATTCCTTACTGATTTATTACTTTAGTAAATAAAAAACTCACAAAAACCCAACTTTTTTCATTTTATTATTATACAGGCCGATTCATATAAGTTGTAACTCAAAACAATTTATATGGGACTGCCTGTATACAAAGCTTCATTCCCACTCATGGCGAAAATGGTTGCGACTACAAATTAAACAATAAATTTAATCTAATTTATTTTTTTTAGTTTAGTTCAGTTTAATTTAGTTCATTTTAGTAGTTATAGTAGACTATTCGTCTACTTTTGACATTTGAGTCCGAATAAGTACGTTTTAGGTTTTTAGGTTTTTCTTAGAAAATAAAAATTGGTATTAAAATAAGTTTTTTTGTACGTAATAAAATGATATTGTAAAAAATTTGTATGTTATTTATTTTGTACAATTTAAAAAATTAGTAGAGAAGAAACTAATAAAAAGTTAAAATTTTAATTTACTAGTTTATTATTGTTTATTTTTCGTTTAACTTAATGCAGTTTAACATAGTTCATGACAGTGATCAAAGTCGAAAATGCGTCCATTGTTGCCAACCTTGCGATCACTTAAACCGAAATAAACAAGTTGGGGTCCAGTTAAACAAAAGTATCGTTTTCGTACTTGCTAATAGGATCAAGTCGACTGTGTTTTCGGTCAGTAAATAAATTTTTATTGGCAAAACCCCCGACCGTCCGGTCTAATTCATCACCAAACCCAACTTTTTTCAGTTTGTTATAATACAGGCTGATTCATATAAGTTGTAACTCAAAACAATTTATATGAGACTGCCTGTATACAAAGCTTCATTCCCACTCATGGAGAAAATGTTTGCGACTAGAAATTAAACAATAAATCTAATCTTATTTAATTTTTTTACACAGTTTATAGTTCATTTTTAGTTTAGTTCAGTTCATTTTATTTTAGACTAATTTTGACAAGTAGTCGATTTAAGTCATTTCAGTGTAGTTCAACATTGTTTATTTCCTTTATTCAAATAATCTTAATTACTAATTTAGCACAGTTGAGATCAAGAATGATTAATAAAATCAGTTTATTACAGTTTATTACGTATAGAGTCGTAATCCAAGTTAATTTTATGCCAATATTAACACTAATAAAGTTCATAACACTTAATTTTGTAATAGACAATAAAAAAAATTGCATAATTACTAATATAGTTTTTTTGTTTTTCACAAATTTAGAGGTAATTTTTTACTAGATACTAAATAAAAGTTTGAGATGTTATGCAACTAACATTACAAGCGTGCCTATTTCGTCTACTTTTGACATTTGAGTCCGAATAAGTACGTTTTTACGGATTGTTTTAGGTTTTTTTCAGAAAACAAAAATTGGTAACATATTAAAACGAGTTTTTTGGTATCGAATAAAATAATAGTGTAAAAAATTTGTATGTTGTTTATTTTGTCCAATTTAAAAAAACAGTAGAAGAAAAACTAATAAAAAGTTAAAATTTTAATTTACTAGTTCATTATTGTTTAATTTTAGTTTAATTAATGCAGTTCAACACAGTTGATGACAGTGATTAAAGTCGAAAAAACAAAAGTATCGATTTCATACTTGCTGATAGGATCAAGTCGACTGTGTTTTCGGTCAGTAAATAAATTTTTATTGACAAAACCCCCGACCGTCCGATCTAATTCATCATCAAACCCAACTTTTTTCAGTTTATTATTATACAGACTGATTCATATAAGATGTAACACAGGACAACTTATATGAGTCAGCCTGTATACAAAGCTTCATTCCCACTCATGGAGAAAATGGTTGCTATTAGAAATTAAACAACGAATTTAATCTAATTTATTTTTTTTCACAGTTTATAGTTCATTTTTAGTTTAGTTCAGTTCATTTTAGACTAATTTTGACAAGTAGTCGATTTAAGTCATTCAATGTAATTCAACATTGTTGATTTCCTTTATTCAAACATTCTTAATTACCAGTTTATCACAGTTGAGTTCAAAAATGTTTAATAAAATAAGTTTATTACAGTTTATTATGGATAGAGTCGTAATCCAAGTTAATTTTATGCCAATATTAACACTGATAAAGTTCATAACTCTTAATTTTGTAATAGATAATGAGAAAAAATTGCATAATTATTAAAATGTTTTTTTTTCACAATTTTGGATGTTATTTATTAAATAAAAGTTTGAAATGTTATGCAACTAACATTACAAGCGTGCACGACTTGAGAACTATTTTGTCTACTTTTGACATTTGAGTCCGAATAAGTACGTTTTTACGGATTGTTTTAGATTTTTTTTAGAAAACAAAAATTGGTATTAAAACACGTTTTTTGTACTTAATAAAATAATAGTGTAAAAAATTTGTATTTTGTTTATTTTGTCCAATTTAAGAAATTAGTAACGAAAAGAAACTAATAAAATGTTAAAATTTTTGTTTACTAGTTCATTATTGTTTAACTTAATGCAGTTTAAAACAGTTCATGACATCACTGATCACTCAAAGTCGAAAATGCGCCCATTGTTGCCAACCTTAAACCGAAATAAACCAGTTGGTGTCCAATTAAACAAAAGTATCGATTTCATACTTGGTGATAGGATCAAGTCGTCTGTGTTTTCGGTCAGTAAATAAATTTTTATTGACAAAACGGCCGACCGTCCGGTCTAATTCATCACCAAACATTGAATTGGGACCACAGGAAGGTCTCTGGGTGGTTTCTTATCTGTGATTGATAACAAGCGGTCGGTCCCACCCAAGTCGATGATAAAATAAAGACACAAGGCTACTTTTTCTTGAACGGAGAAAGGCGGCGTTGCGTTTGACAGGAACTAATAAATGATATTTTACCGGAAACGATCGAATCGTGTGCAAATGACACCGAGAAGGCGCGCGAAAATCAATATTTGGACTGGAACGGTGGGAAAATGAGCAGGGAAAAAATTACCTGTCATTCGGAATTATTCAAATTACTCTGGAATTTTTATTAATTACTTGGGATTTCTGGAGATTATTTGACACAAATTTGCTTTGTGAAAATCTCAAGTGTATTTTTATATACGTAAAATAAAAATATTTTTTTAATTTCTTAACTGTTATACAGGGTGATTTTAAAAAAATGGCAAGCGCTGTAGAATTTTTATTTATAGACCGATTTCAAAAATTAAAAAAACTAATTAAACAAAAAAACCTATATTTATTATGTTGTAAATACGATATTTTTTTTTCAGAAAAGTTGTTCATCTAGTACCCTTGTATATCAAATTTTAAAATTATCGGCCAAATAAGATTTTTCATTTTTATCCAAGATACGTCTAAAAAAATTGATTGAAGTCAAAATTTTAGACCAATTTTGGTCTCTCATGTTCATTTCTCAAATTAAAAAAATTTATTTGTAATAAAGACCGCCATGGAAAAACAAAATTGTATTTATAACCATATTAATTACTAAAACGACTTAATAATCAAACACTACTTTTTTAATCTTAAACTGTTTTTTAAATAACGGGTGTTTTTTTTATTTAACGTCAAAGCTCTCTATGAAATATGAAAGTTTGATTGTGAACGAACCATCGCATTTTAACATTAAAGTTTACAAAATTACAAAATAATGAAAAGTTTTTATTTATTTCTACAATTTTTATAAATAAATTTATAGAAAAAAAGTTTTTATATTTTAAAAAAACTTACCTTTTCTTTGATATTTCTTTTAACTTACCTTTTGTTCACTAATAAACTTTTGTGGATTCATGTTTTAAAGTTCGCGCTCTTATACGCCCGCCATCTTTTGGTGCTTATTTAAGTTAGTATTTTTTCTCTTTCTTATGCTTTGCATTGTTAATTGCTATGTCTCTTTCTCTTATACTTATTAGAACTTGTGCACATGTTTTAAAGATCGCGCTCTTATGCGCCCGCCCTCTTTTGACATTTATTTGAATTATATTTGAATTTGAGAAAAATTGCCGACTTGACCGGGGCTCGAACTCGGGACCTACCTGCTGGAAAGCGGGACCTTATGCCGCTGAGCCACCACCGCCGCCAACAATTTCAATGTTTTCATTCAACATATTTTACACAAAATTTTTCAAAAATTTATTTTTCGCATTTAACAATGTTTTTGTGCTTTATTAAGTCTTTTGAACCCCCAAGCGTGCAAATGGTTCAATTTTGAAGTTTTCAATTTTTGTCGAAATTTTGGGCGATTTTTGGTGTCCGAAGCGGTTTATTGCTGATAAATTCGGAACTATTGACTCTAGTTCTTTTTGCTTAGTACCGTTGGAAAGAAAATTTAATTTTCTATCATACACAATAAAGATCAGTGCTCTATGATAAATAATTATCGAGAAAATTTCTGATAAAATCAAAAATATAAAAAATATTAATTCAAAACTATAACTTCTAAACGATCGTGAATTTTGCAGTTCAAAAAAAAACATTAAGTTTGAAGTACAAATAATAATTACCTATAACAAATCGGACAAATATCTAAGTTAGTATTATTAATTTATTTTCTTATTACGTTCTTATTTATTTACATATTTTGTACTTTTTTGTTATTTTTTCCACTTTGATAGTTTTGTCAAAAAATAATTTTTAGTAAAGGTAGAACGTATTGCACGTATCCGTACCAAGAAAATTAATATCTTCCAAATTATAAAAAAAATTGGACCCATATTATATAATTATATAATATACTTACTGTACACGGTGTGTCAGAACTCGCGCTCCAAAAAAAAATTTCAAGTAAGGTAAGATACCATCAAAATGTAAAAAATGTTTAAAAACATTTTTTGATGTCTATTTAATAAATCTGATGATTTTGTATGTTTTTTATTTATTTTGTTATTATTTATTATTATTTTTCCAACAGAAATAAATAGAGTCAAAGCGCAAATTTAAACTCTCATAACTTCGAAATTTTTATAGATGGAATTTTTTTAACATTTTTTTCATGTTTCTGATTTTATTAATTTTTTGCCTTTCCTTCAAATTCTTTTTTTTGTCCTTTATTTTACGTTTCTTTATTTATTTTTCAGCATTTTTTCTCTTTCTTAAATTACTTCCAAGTT